ATAATAGGATTCGTTTAATGAATGAAATAATCAAAGGGATGGCAGTCATCAAAATGTATGCCTGGGAACAACACTTCTCGCAACTTATATCTGACGTCCGAAAGTATATATAATTTTTAGATATTAATTACATTTTTATATTCACTTATTTTAAATGTGAACATCATTTTAAGTTACTAGCTAGTAACTAAAAAGTTTTTAGTTATATTTATTACATGCAATTACCTATCACTATAACTTGAGTACTGTATTATAATGCTTACTAAAATTACAATAATCAAATTGTCTATAATTATAAATGAAAATCTAATGACTTATAAATATATGTTTGTTGATAACTAGGAAAGAGATGTCCAAAATAAGGGGGTCGACCCTATTGAGGGCCCTAAACATATCCATTTCGATCATATCGGACAAAGTGATAGTCTTCACGATATTCATAGTCTATGTTCTGATTGGAGAGCACTTGAGCGCCGAGAAGGTGTTCGTAACGATGGCTATATTCAACACAATACGGCTCACAATGACCTTCTTTTTCCCGAATATGATAGGCTATGCCGCGGAGATATACGTCTCGTGCAAAAGGGTCCAGGTGTGTGATCCGGGTATTAATTGTTTATTTAGTAAACATATAATCGTGTGTTTTATTTGTGTAGAAATTTCTACTTTTGGATGAAATCCAAGTAAAAGGCATTCAGTATAAAGACAGTGATTTGGATGTCAAGAAAAATAGCGACGGCTTTAATATAGCCTTAATTGACGCACAAATGACTAATCGATGCAACGATGGGAACAGTATTATCGTGGACAACCTGTCGGCCAAATGGGATATTGTTAGTGGAAAGGGATGTGAAATATGAATATTAACAACTAATTTTTATGCACAGGACTCTGATATAATAACCCTACAAAACATATCATGCAGTTTACAAACCGGTGAATTGTTAGCTGTTGTGGGGCCGGTAGGCTCGGGAAAGGTATGTTGATTTTCAATTATTTAAAGTTACAAAAGAAATAATTAATTTTTGCCGTAAATTAGAGCTCATTCCTGATGTCTCTGATGAATGAGATTGAAGTGACTACCGGTGCCGTCAAAGTAGAGGGTATTATAGCCTACGCCCCGCAGGAGTCGTGGGCTTTCAACGCAACTATTCTGCAGAATATTCTGTTTGGAAAGCCTTACGAATTTCAGAAATTCCGTCAAATAATGTCCGTCTGCGCGATGGACAGGGATTTAAAGCAATTTCCGTTTGGAGAGAAGACATTAGTCGGGGAAAGGGGTGTGTCGTTGAGTGGCGGGCAGAAAGCTAGACTCACGTTAGCACGGTCAGTTATACTAATCCAATAATATTCTGGTATATTGTGTGATCATTATCACAGCATTTTGACCCCAATCCCAGTGCCCTCTATAGCGACGCCGATATCTATTTACTGGACGACCCGTTAAGTGCCGTCGACTCCGATGTCGCGAAACATATCTTTGAAAAGTGAGTTAAAAATTGAATTAAATTTCATAGTATTATAAGTATTTTGTTTACAGATGTATAACAGGTTACCTGAAATCAAAAGCTGTTGTTTTAGTCACACATCAAATCCAATTCATACAAAAGGCTACCAAAATACTAGTGCTCAAAGAGGGCCGACCCCTAGCCTTTGGGTCGTACAAAGGATTGTGTGAATCCGGTATTGATTTTATGAATTTAATACAAACAGAAGTGAAGTCCGAAAGTAAGTCCAAAAGCGATGAAATAATTAGCGAAGAGCTGATGGCTTCGCAAGAG